TAGAATTTCCTCTAAAAGACCTGCCCCCTCTTCCTCTAAAATTTCTGCCTCTTCCTTTTGGTGAGAAGTTGTTGGATCTGGTGAAGTGATTCTGAGTTGTGTTGTTACCAGAGGTCTTGCTGAAGTTGTTGTTGTTGTTGGTTCCTCCCTGGGAAGCAAAGTGTGCTGAGGGGTTTGACCCATCAATATTGACTGAGGGTTGAGAGGTGAAGTCCATTCTTGACTCTAAACTCAGCAGCATGGCATAAACCTCATTTAGTGTGTAAGGTTCTATTCTGGTGGTGACTGCTACTACCACTGCATTGTATTCAGCTCCAAGACCTCCAAGGATGTGCAAGATGTGGTTTGCTTCACTAACTGGTTCACCTGCAGTTCCCAGGGCATCACAACAAGCTTTCACTTGAGACAGAAATTCTCTCATAGACATAGTGCCTTTCCTCAAAGTTTGAAGCTGCAGTTTGAACTGCATCAGCCTTGCCTTGGATTGTCCTGAGAAATTGGACTCAAGGGCCTGCCAGATCTCTTGGGATGAGTTCTTCCCAACCATCATAATGAGGAGATTCTCAGAGAGAGAAGACAGCAACCATGAGGCAAGCAATTGATCTTGCCTTATCCAGGTTACATATTCTGGATTTGTTTGGATCTGGCCATTTTCTTCAGATGTGATGGTTTGAGGAGGAGTGTGGATCTCGTTTGAGATGAAATTTTCTAGGCCATAGCCTTTGATGGTGGTCAACACTTGTTGTTTCCACAGAAGATAATTTGAATCTGTAAGTTTCAAGGAGACTAGTTGGTGATGGGGCTGTATAAGGCCATTTGAGCTGTTACTAGTTGCCAGGGGTAGAGTTGTTTGGCTTGAAGAGGAAGATGCCATAATGGCAGATCAGAAAAGAGCAGAAAATAACAAAGGCCGAGAAAGAGGGTGTATCAGAGACAGGCTATGCACCTGCTCTGATACCATGATGGATTTCCAGTTTTTGCATGAAAAGGGAAAAACAATAAAGCTTGAAGATGAAAGATAATTCACTGTATTTCCATATTGAGCTGCTGAGGGGATACAACATACTTATAGCATGTGCTAGACCTGAAACCCTAGAATACGAGCTAATGAGCTTGTGCCACGTGCATGGGAGCAACATACAAGTCTCAGGTGCACAGAAACACAAAAGACAGCTAGCAAGGTACTAGGAAACAGAAAAAGATTCCAAACTATAGCATAAGTAGCTAACCATGCATAAAGGACTACTGTTACTGCTAAACCTAAAGCTAATCCAATATTAGATGATTAAGTGACTTTATCACATAAACTAATAGATAACTGCATAAGGGAATCATCCGATAATTCCATAAAATTTCTCGATATTCAACTTACCATTCTTTCTACCTTACAATTTCTCTGCAAAAACTGAATTAAATGACCACGTAAATGTATATGCTCAGCCCATTGGAAGACTTGTTATTTTATAAATTATTTGGTGGGAGTTGAACTTAGTAGGATCCTATTATTTTGTGTATAATATAAGTTTGACACTTGGCAAATTACATTTCTTGCATATATTTTTTTTTATTTTATCTTTTATTAATTTATTTAATTTGTGGATTTGACTCTTAATATATATTTTTAAGGAAACTTGTGTAAGAAAACGGTTGGTGTGAGTTCTAGTGAGATTAGTAGGTAATTACAAATTGATAACTACTATTAGAATGTCCACTTGATTATCTATAATTATTTGTTTTTCCAATGTTCCAACATATACTTACTAATCTTTTTATTTTTATAGTAACGTTTGGTAAATGATTATATATTTTGTTTGCTAGTTTTAAGGTATTTTGGGCAATGGCAGTGGCCACAGTTGTATCTACCACTTCGAACTTCCCAACGAGAATCATCTACTCGTATACAATTTCAATTACCATTTTTATATGTTTAATTAATTTATTCAACAAAATACTTGCTCATCATAAAATAAAACAACTTGAATAAAATCTCGTCCCTTCATAAATACCTCACCTTGCATGTATTGTCTTAAATCGAACACACTCATACAAAATATAGTATACTATATACCCACCTTACTAAAAAAGAGCAAATCAAAATTAAAACACTACCACCACCAAAATCATTAATGACAAACATTTCCACCACCGGCAACGGTGGCGCCGCCGCCGGAAATACCGCGAAGCTCAGTTGCCGTTACCTAACGACCCATTTCGTAAAACTTTGTTTAGTCCCATTTGTTGCCTTCGCGCTCGTTGAAGCTTGGCGCCGGATGGAATACCTCGAGTTTCGTGACTTGTACCTCCACCTCCGGCGCCACCTCGCCATCCTCTCCGCCGTCTCGGCCATCGCCTACTTCACGACCCGGCCGCGACCCGTCTACCTCGTCGACTACGCGTGCTACCGCCCGCCAGACCATCTTCGTGCCCCGTTCGCCAAGTTCATGAAGCACTCGCGGCTCAACGGCTCGTTTTCCGAGCCGGCCCTCGAGTTCCAGAGCAGGATCCTCGAGCGGGCCGGGCTCGGAGACGAGACATACCTTCCGGAAGCACTCCACAGACTCCCGCCTGAGCCGTCGATTGTTGCGGCCCGCGCTGAGGCAGAGATGGTAATGTTCGGTGTGCTCGACAACCTCTTCGGCTCGACTGGCGTCGAGCCTAAAGAAATTGGGATTCTCGTCGTCAATTGCAGCCTCTTCAACCCGACTCCATCATTATCGGCTATGATCGTGAATAGATACAAATTCCAGTCAAATGTGAAGAGCTTCAATTTGGGTGGGATGGGGTGTAGCGCCGGTGTTATCGCCGTCGACCTGGCTAAGGACATGCTCCGAGTCCACCGGAACACGTACGCAATCGTCGTCAGCACCGAGAATATAACCGAGAATTGGTATTTTGGAAACAAGAAGTCGATGTTGATCCCGAATTGCCTTTTCAGAATGGGCGGGTCAGCTTTGCTCCTCTCGAATCGGGGTTCCGATAGGAGACGGTCCAAGTACAAGATCATGCACGTGGTTCGGACCCATAAAGGATCCGACAACACTGCCTTTCGGTGCGTGTACCAAGAACAAGACAACAGGGGCAAAACTGGTGTTTCGCTTTCCAAGGACCTCATGTTTATTGCAGGTCAGTACTGATTTGACTAGCGGAATTGTATTTTTTTGTCTCGTTATTCGTTAAAGAATATTATAATAAGAGGGTAAATTTGCAAAAGTTACTTGAGCATATTGTTGACGTGAATGTATTGATTTTCAGGCACAACTTTGAAAACAAACATAACGACGCTGGGCCCACTTGTGCTCCCGGTCAGCGAGCAGCTCCTATTCTTCATAACCCTAATCGCACGAAAACTAATCAACCCGAAAATCAAGCCGTACATACCGGATTTCAAGTTAGCTTTCAACCACTTCTGCATACACGCCGGTGGCCGAGCCGTGATTGATGAGCTGGAGGAGAATCTAAAACTCGAGCCGGTCCACGTGGAGGCCTCGAGAATGACTCTGCATAGGTTCGGAAACATTTCGTCGAGTTCGATTTGGTACGAGTTGGCATACATTGAGGCCAAAAGGAGGGTCAAAAGAGGGGATAAGGTGTGGCAGATTGCATTCGGAAGTGGGTTTAAGTGCAATAGTGCCGTTTGGGCCGCGCTAAGGGACGTTGAGCCGTCGGCTCATAACCCGTGGCTCGATTGCATGGAAAAGTATCCCGTGGAGTTAATTAGTAATTAATATATATATATATATATATATGCACGTTTATATTATATAAATAAGTGTGAATGATATGTTCTTATTGTTAATTGTATTGTAAATCAAGTCTTGTTGTTGGTATTTATTACTGGATTGGCTCTGGATGTGTGCACAAGATGACTAATAAATACATATGTATAATTTTTACGTATGTGTAGTTTTTCATATATTAAATGTGTTTGATTATGACTAGTGAATATATATGTATAATTTTATAATTATACATTTGTTGTATACAATATTTTATTTAAGACATAATAGATTATTCTATATTAATATAACTAGTGTTAAGATTGCATTATATATAAATAGTATGAATTGTAATCTATTACCCATTTTTCTAAAATCGTACGGGACCGAACAGTCCAACCAACAGATGGACCGGGAACCGGTCTGTCGACTGGTCTGGTTCGATTGAATGAAATAATTGCTAGCGAACTGGTCACACCTGTCGGCCGAACTGTTAAGACCCATCCAAATTTTTAAATATTTTTTTTATATTTAAAGAAAATTAAGATTTATAAATTAGTTTGTCTATTAGTTAGAATATTTGAATATTTTAAATTGTTTAGATATTAACTTATTAAGTAATATTTTTATATAAGTTTATTAAAGAAATACTATGTATATTTAAAAATTAATAAAGAAATTGGGTTCAACCAGTGAACTATTGAAGATTGAACAAATAGCTTGATCTGTGCAACGACAGTCCAATTCTGAGAACCTTGGGTTTACTGTACATTATTAAAATTCTATTGCTATATCATTTTGTTTACATAAATATTAATAAAAAGTGAAAAATAAATATTCATAAATGATTGAACACGTGGTTATGAAAGCATTCATTGTATGATTATTTGAGTGTGGATAACATTACATTGTTTGTTTCTAATACTAAAATTTATATTTTAGTTTCAATAGTCTATATAGTTTGGTAAACCTATAGCTGATAAGCTAGGTTATAACTTTTAGGTGGATTTCGAGCTTATAGTTGGATAGTTTATAGCTGAAAAACTAGCCTTTATGATTAAATAGATTGGTAAAATTAGTTGATAAATGAGTTGAACTAAATGTTTCAATTGACTTATTTGAAAAGCTAGCCAATGAAACTTATGAGATAAGGGTTTCTTAATAAAGTTTGTCCTACTAAACCAAGTTTATTTGAATACACACTACAAGAAAATGATGAAATTCCAACGGAAATATATTTCAAAAGAATTATTCCAACGGCAATTCCAACGGATATTTCATACTATTATTTCCGTTGGAATTTTTCAATGGATTCCAACGGAAATTCCAACGAAAATATTCCGTTGGAATGGGTTTTCCATTAGAATTTCCGTTGGATTTTGACGATTCCAACGGTGGATTTTCCAACGGGGGTGAAAAAAAAATTTCCAATGGAATTTGCGTATTCCAACGGAAATTCCTACGGTAAAAAACCGTTGGAAATATAGCCGTTGGAATCATCAAATTCCATCTACAATTCCAACGAAAATCACATTCCAACGGATTTTCCGTTGGAATTTCTGTTGGAACTATTCCAACGGAAGCTATTCCATTGGAATATCCGTTGGAATTTCCATTAGAATATAATACCATAGGAATTTCCGTTGGAATATAACATTTATTTTGTAGTGACAAGAAACATATAAATTAATCAAATAAGCTATAATCTAACTTATATGCTTACCAAACACAACCTTAAAAGTTATAAGCTATCTTATCAGCTATATATATTTACTAAATATATTCTAGTAATTAAGTATCTCTCGAGTCAATTGTTATGAAATCCTGAGTTTGTTGTGACTTAACTCTCAATTGTCTGTCGTTGCTATTAATGTATATTAAGCATGTTTTGGGTGGATAATAATATAATTTAAAATTATTTATATGTGAAATACTGATATTGCAACTCATCATACATTATCATATCCATTATAATAATTAATGAGTAATTTAATAACTTTAATTGATATATATACTATATAATTGTTTGTTGTCTACCATTTTGGAGGTTGGCCGTCAGTCGTATGTTAATTAAAATTTTTGATGCTATAACAAAAGTATTGTACACATGTTGAACGAGGATGATATATTATGTAATAGTCAACTAAAGAGTCGTTATTTCCAGTCTTACGCTTCACATATGGTGTACCTGCCGCTTTGACACTTGTACCTCCAACCCGGCCGGGCCACCTTGCAACTCAACAACTCATTTTTCTCAATCATCTATGCACTCATAGGTGAATCTTAAAGGATATAAACTAGTTTGTGGACTAGATGTAAACGAGTGAACCCGAACTCAAGCTGCGCTGATGATGATATACACGATTTTGAGATTGGAAACTTTATTTAACCGGGCTGAGTTCAACTCGTCCACTATATAAGTCAACAAACGAGATCGAGTTTGACTCATTTATCGATATTATTGAGTCATCTTAAGCTTTATTGAGCTGAGCTACAAAAAATATATAAAAATTCCCAATTTTTTAAGTCTTAACGAGCATCATCTCGGTTCGACTCGTTAACTAAACAAGTCAAGCTTGATTGAGTCTCAACGAACCAAGCTCACGAGAACTATGTTAGAAATTAGGATGAGGGTGTCGTAAGGATTGTATTAGTGGGAGGAAAAATGGATTTTGAAAAACAACAAAGGAAATCAATGAATATTAGAAATGAACGAATGTACTGACACATATACAAAGATAACATTATTACGTACATATACTGTATATATAATGAGACTATATACGAAATGAAATATAAAAGTGGATTAAGATTTATGTTTGCGGATAGCAATTCATACATATTGCTTGAATATCACTTGTGATCTATATCATATTGAATATATAGAAATTGAGTATATAGCTTATAAGTTTAGTGGGTTACTCCTTCTATCACCAGACCCGTTCCCCGAATCTATAACTTAAATTTCTGATTTTTTTTTTTTCTTTTGGCCCAATAAATAATCTTCCAACTGCCAATATTTACTAGAGAAATTTGCACCATACACGTGACATACCAATTTTTATTGCATAAATAAAACCAAGTTATAAATAATTACAATTCAACTAGTTTAGTACTTTTATTTGCAAAACTACCAGATTTCAATAAAATCATTTTTGGAGTAATTAATGGAAACATTATCACCTCCCAAATCTAATCATGATTCTCTCTCTTCTTCTTCTTCTTCTTTATGCTTAAAATTCTCTCTCCTCCTACCATTGAAATTTTTATTTGTTTTTTTTTCTGTATCAGTCGAATACGGGTGATCCACGACTTAGATGAGCGCGGGGTCGGCGGATCGATGGAGTGGCAGACCCGTCGACAGTAAGGCGACCGTAAACCCCGACGGGGCACCACGAAACTGTGGAGGCGCACTGGCCCTCCAAAGACCGGAGATAGCGGTTCGCCGACGCTAGCCCTCCAGTTAAGCTTAGGGAAGGCGATCTCCATTAAGCTTGGGAAAGGTGGCGTTGACTGGGGTTCTGATGAAGGACTTGATCGCAACCTCGATGTTAGGGAAGGAGGGGGGCGGGCTGAGGTCCTCGAATTCGCCGTTCCCGTATATAGTATGTATATAGTCTGTATATATCTCGTATATATTCTGTATTGCGAAGCTATTGTATTGCGAGATGGTTCATTTCATGACTTTTTATTTTTTTCATGATAAAATATTGAGTTTTTCCTGTTATTTTTTAATTTTCTCATAATTGTTGTAACCTAAATATTACAGATTATATACACAAATTTTAAACTTACAATACAAATTAACATACAATACTTGTATTGATATTTCACCAGATTTGTGTTTATATCTTGAAAGAACTATAAACAATTCAATCCAATAAAAAGTCGATAAATAAAAAATGTCGACTAACACTGGGATATATACATGTATTATTTGTAGATGTATATAAAAGTGTATATGTTATGTATATATCATGTATATATCCGACATAAACAAAGACTGTGATAAAAATACCGATATAAAAATGTATATGTCATGTATATATCCTATTATATTTCCTGTACATTGTACAATGTACACAATCCCCATATTTTCGTGCGATTTATTGTTCTTCAATTTACCTTTCTTTTTTTTTTTTATGTAAGGAATCCCTTAAACGTGAAATCCTCCTAATTTTCTGCCAGATATTATCTCTCCAGCCATGCATCCGTCAGTTACGCGAATCTGTTATGGTAAGATTTTATGGCTTGATATTATATTGTACGTATATAAATAATTTAATTAAGTTAGTTATAAATGCAATTAAGTTATATATTTGGTATAGTTGCAAATAAAACAATACATTATGGCATAAGTGTAAATGCCTCTATTTACTACTCTTTGAACCTTTGTAGTTAGTGGCCCAATGTCCAGGTCCAATCTATTCTTGGCCGGAAGATAGGATGGGCCATTTACGAGTGATGGACCTCTTCTTATGAAGTCCAATAAAACACACAATAAAGATGAAAATAAAAATAAAAATAAAAATAAAAATATCTTGTACTATAACTGGCTAATAACTTAAAAAAATACAAAAATAGTATTTTTATTAAATACAAAATATGTTTCTTGTTTCGAAAAACAACAAAAGAAAATCAATGCGTTGATTCTAAAAAATAATTATTATGCAAATACACAACAAATTAAAGTAGTATCTTCTAGATCACACATTTTTCTCCCAGCAATTAAAACACAAAATTTAATAGTAGAGATAACTAATAGTAAAGGTATAGATTTTATTTTTATTTTATTTATAGATTTTATTTATTTATTTTTATTGGAGATAATTTCTATCAGTTTTGCTATGTAGTCAATCGTTAGCTCTATAGTGGAGTCATCATTCCATATACATCAGTAAATCATACCTATTAATAAAATTATTAGTATTGATTTAAGTAAGCACAGAATATGATATGATTTACTTGTTGTATATAAAAGGTTGACTCCGCTATGGAGCCAACGATTG